AAAAAAAAAAAAAAAAAGAATACACACGATTTCTTTTAAGGTACGCTCAGATAATTCATGATAATCTCCCCATCTCATGACCCTTAATTCAATCACATCTGCACAGTCCTTTTATTGCCCTGTAAGGTAAACTTCACAAGCTCCGGGGAATAGAAGCTAAGTACCATTGGTGGAGAAAATTATTCGGCCTGCTATAAATTAGGTTGATAATAAAAATACTTACATGAACATTCAAGAATATAATATGTAAAATTCACTTAGAACAACATCTACCATGCCATAAAGCATTCAACAATATATTGCCCATGTTAGTGATATTCATTATGATGTAGCAACAAGAAAATGCAGCCAAAAAGTTTCCAGGTAGAAATTATTTTTAAATAAAAGTATATGGAAGATCTCATCTCTGGATTTTGTTTAAGGTGTATTACCCTTAAAATGTTAATATTAATTGAAGGATTATATCTCCACCTTGAATAATCACAACCCAATAGTTTAGGCATATAATACATGCAGCCACTTAAGGCTTTGTCTTTTGTTACTTTTCATGTGAAATTGAAATCATTGTAGCAATTTCATCCACCCTGAATTCTTCCTAATGTCAAAGTCAAAGATGTGTTGTAATACAATTGTCTCATTTTGCTCTTTTGTCTCCTACCCACCTAGGACACCGATCTAATGACATTCAATATCTCTGTCCATCGGTCATGGTGGAGAGAACATGGGCCTGGCTGTGTCAGAAGAGTGCTGCCTCCCTCAGCCCATGGCATGATGGACGATTACACGTACGTCTCTGTCACAGGCTGCATCATTGACTTCCAGTACCTGGAGGTCATCCACAGTGCCGTCCAAATACTACTCTCTGTAAGTGTCAATTTTGTGTCATTTTCTGATCAGAACTCTTCTTTATTGGCGTTTTTTCCTCCACACCTCCCTGGTAGACAGTGCCACAGATAAACAAACAGAGAACATCTTTTCAACAACAGAAATAGCAGCAATTTTGGTACCACTAGTATACCTGATGGCAGGTTACACCTTTTTTCTCTTGATACCTAGACATTTTGTTTTTAGAAGGATTTCTTTTTCTTTCTTTTTTTTTTTAATTTATTTATTTTACTTTAGGTGCATACTATATCTGGCATTTCTCCCTATGTTATCCCTCCCCACCCCAACCCTCCCCACCCCCTGCTGTCTCTCCCCTACCCACCCCAACTGCCCCCAGTGTGTGATGCTCCTCTCTCTGAGTTCGCGTGTTCTCATTGTCAAACACCCACCTATGTGTGAGAACATACAGTGTTTGGCTTTCTGTTCTTGTGTCAGTTTGCTGAGAATGATGGTTTCCAGATTCATCCAAGTTCCTACAAAGGACACGAACTCATTGCTTTTTATGACTGGCTGCATAGTATTCCATGGTGTATATGTACCACATTTTCTTTGTCCAGTCTATCACTGATGGGCATTTGGGTTGGTTCCAGGTCTTTGCTATTGTACACAGGGCTGCAATGAACATACGTGTGCATGTGTCTTTATAGTAGAATGATTTGTAGTTCTTTGGGTATATACCCAGTAATGGGATTGCTGGGTCAAATGGAATTTCTATTTCTAGATCCTTGAGAAATCGCCACACTGTCTTCCACAATGGTTGAACTAATTTACACTCTCAGCAACTGTTAAGAGTGTTCCTATTTCTCCACATCCTCTCCAGCATCTGTTGTCTCCAGATTTTTTAATGATCGCCATTCTAATTGGCATGAGCTGATATCTCAGTGTGGGTTTGATTTGCATTTATCTAATGACCAGTGATGATGAGCATTTTTTTCATATGTTTGTTGACCTCATATATGTCTTCTTTTGAAAAGTGTCTATTCATATCCTTTGCCCACTTTTGAATGTGGTTGGTTGTTTTCTTTCTTGTATATCTGTTTTAGTTCTTTGTAGATTCTAAATATTAGTCCTTTGTCAAATGAGTAGATTGCAAAAATTTTTTCCTATTCTGTTGGTTGCCAATTTGTTCTAATGATTGTTTCTTTTGCTGTACAGAAGCTCTGTAGTTTAATTAGATCCCATTTGTCTATCATGGCTTTTATTGCCATTGCTTTTGGTGTTTTAGTCATGAAGTCCTTGCCTATGCCTATGTCTTTTAGAAGCATTTCTAACTTGAGATACAATTCACACCATTCAATGAAATTGTATCACCATTCACCAGAAGTGGTGCCTTTTCTCTTAGCTACCTCAGGCTCTTCTGCTAATGCCTTCTCCTACTAATGCACCTCAATTTCAGAAAAAGAAGGATGAGAGCCAATGGCTTATTCTGTCTAATAAACGTTACATTTCAAATATTTATTTCTTAAAAAATGAATCCCACCAGAGACTCTTTGCATTTTAGTGCCTAAAATCTGGCATTGGAATACAATTCTGTATACAGAAACAAGAAGGAAATGATGTAATTAGTCCACAGAAGGTTTGTGTGCCAGGGATTCCTTAAAAGTAATTTTCTTCCACTAGGCTGCCCCACTCACAGTTTGATCACAATAAGGAGTGGAATTAATTTAAGGATGTGTAGCATAATCAAGAATCTTCCTTTGAGACCTAAAAAGGACTTACCATGTAGTTTGAGTCAATATTCAATAAAGACATTCTCAAGCTGCTTTTTACATAAACCAGCTATCTCAGTTCTGTTCACTGGTTAGCTTAGTAGGAATAACAGACACAGACTCAATAGTAAATAAATAGATAACAGAAATATGAGTGATATGTCAATAAAGAAGGTAGCTTGGAATTGATTCTAGAAGAATCTTTGAAAAATCTTTGCTATCACTTACTGTATTGATTATCTACTGCTATATAACAAACCACTCCAAAATACAATTATATAAAACAATATTAATTTATTGCTTGGAGTTCTGTGCATTAGGAATTTGGGCACATCTTGGCCAGATAGTTCTTCTGTTTTATGTGGTATTAGATAAGGTCACTCAAAACTCCACACAGTATTGGCTAGGGTCACTGATGTGAGGCTGTCAATCTGCCGCTCTGCTAGGACTAGAATGTCCAAAGAGGCCTCACTCACATTTCTGGTGCTGACTGTTGACCCCATTCTCCTGCACATGCCCATGGCTTCTCCTTCTGCAAAAAAAAATATAGACAGTTTCTCAAGCAACAAGGTAGCTGAGTAATAAAAGGAGAAGCCACCACGAGAGCATTTATCAAGCTTCTACTCGAGTAACACTTGCTATTGTTTCATTGGCTACAGCAAATCTATGACCCAGCCTGTAGTCATTGTGAGAGGAGGCTATCAAAAGGTGAGAAGACAAGAAGGCGTGGCTCTTTTAGAGCCACCAATGTAGTAGTCTACCTCATTTACTCAATCTACTAGTTACTGTTCTTTAATTTGCATGTCTCATGTTTTAAAAAAATGTTTTAGAGCATGTTTGAAGTACAATCTTCTAGAAAGAATAAAGATCTGAATAAAACAAAAATCAAAGATCTTTTAGGGTTCTCGTTCAAAGAAAGACAAATTTGACACTAAACTCAAAAAACACGGATTGCACCTTGATGGCAAGGAATTTCCTTTCAGACATGTAATAAAAAATCTCATCATTCTAGGTTTCTACAATTATATTTACAGGTATAAATATATAGTCACTCATCAATATATGCTTATCAGTCATTCCTTATTCTCTGATCTTTAATGTAGCCATTACATATAAAATTGTGGCAAAATACATATGTTTAAATTTTTGTCGTGAAACGATGCAGGGGCAAATTTTCTTTTTAAAAATGTGTAGGCTGTTTTAAGTTATAAAATAACTCTGTTACTCTATGCTAGACACTAACAGTTTTTATTAGTCATCTTAAATAATGAAATATTTTTCTAAAATCTTTCATATGTGAACAGATTACTCTCCTTTAAAAAATATTGTAGCAAATTGCTAAACCATTTTGTGCAGTGATGGCATGGCCAGTCCTTTATAATACAGCAGAACACTGTGGAATCCAAAAGCCATTTCCCCGTAGTAACTCCAGTTCGAAGGAACAGCAACTATTTATTTGATAAGGAGCTGGACTGTCACATAAAAACATTCCCTAAAGGGCATTCTAAATAAATTGTAGGTGTTGCCACCTAAAAGCACTTGTCGCTTATAAATGAATTTATCCACATTTTAGTAAGCATTCAAAGCTACCACCCTGCACACATAGCTCTATACTGTTCAGCCTTTGAAAAAAAAGATTAGTTGCTGCTCCCTTACTTTTCTTGTGTAACACACCTGCAAGGCAAAATTTTTAATATTTTAGGCTTTCATATTAAAATATATCATGAAATTGTTTCACAACTATCCAATTATGTGTTAGTGGTGTCATTGATTTTTGAATGAATTTCTTCTATTTGTCACTTATTTTATGAGGTTACATTTACAATTATTAGAATTGTTGTTTTGTTGTTGTTCTTGTTTTGTTTTGTGTTTTGAGACAGTTTCGTTCTTGTTGCCCAGGCTGGAATGCAATGGCACGATTTTGGCTCATTGCAACCTCTGCCTCCCGGGTTCAAGTGATTCCCCTGCCTCAGCCTCCCGAATGGCTAGGACTACAGGCTCAGGCCACCATGTCCAGCTAATTTTTTGTATTTTTAATAGAGGAGGGGTTACACCATTTGGCCAGGCTGGTCTCAAACTCCTGACCCCGGCCTGCCAAAGTGCTGGGATTACAGGTGTGAGCCACTGCGCCCGGCCAGAATTGTGCTTTTTAAACATTTGATTTAGGAGAATCCTTCTTGTTGGCCAATATGTGCTGAAATGTTTACTTTCTTCCTCAAAATCAGGGGTGATGGTCACAATATTTAACATCTGGAGCGGTGTGGTCAACCAAGTAAATTGAGGGGTAACTTGGGGAAGGGGGGCAGGGGCTCGGTGTCTCTGCTGGAGGGGGTTACCCTTTAATTACTGGGAACATAGAAATGTCTAGAATAACCTAGGGAAGGGACCGACGAATGTGGCCAGGAAGGTGATTTTGGGGAGTGGCTTTCCACCGAATGAGAAGGAAGTATTTCAGTGTTTTGCCCACGGACACAGCTCCTCTGTGAGTGTGGCTTGAGCAAGGGCCCCGTGTGAGTGGAACTTGGAACTGGAAGAAAAATCACCTCGGTCATAAGCATTCCACAGACTGTGTATATGCTTAAGGGAATGAATACAATAACTGAACTCAGAAAGGTCAGGGTTCTCCTATGAGGCTGTCGCTCCAGGCTCAGGGATCATCCCTGCTCCCAACCGCCTGTGCCCGGGCGCAGAGGCCCCCAGCTCTCGCCAGCCCCTCCGTCCCTGCGCCACGGCGGGGGGACCTGGAGATGCCACCTGCTTCCTCCCTTCCCCAGGCGCTCAGGCTGAGGAGAGGGAAAGTGCTAGGCCCAGAAAAGGTTCTTGTTGCCCTAAAGTCACCAAATCCTAAAGCAGAGTTCCTGTGAATTGTCGGCAACACCAAGTTGAAGATCCGCGGGGAATCCATAGGAAGGTTGCGCACGGTACTGGAGGGAGCAGGAAAATGCAATCCATGCTGGAGGGGAGAAGTCAAAGACAAGCAGAATCCGGCGGAGGGGTGATGAGTGCCCCGCTCAGTGCCCACTGCCCGTCTCTGCTCATATGCTCAGCACTTCTTACCTGAAGCTGCCCAGTAACCTCCTAAATAATCTTCCCTACCGAGTTTTGCCCTACACCTCATGCATGCCTCCTCCCTGTAAGATGACCACAAAGCGCAAATCTAATCAGTCATGTTCCTTCCGCTCACCCTTCAGTGACACTCATCGCGTTCAGGGTGAAATCGGAATTCCCTACTGTGCAAGGGAGATCCTCACAACCCGCACCGGCCTGACT